TTTTTTTTTTTTTTTGAAAACATTTTAATTCAACCTGTACATGTCCTGTTATCTAAGATAACTCACTGTCTTGTAGAGATCGCAAAATATTAAGCAAGGTGGTGTTTTTTAACACAGACCCTGAGCAACTCAAAACAGCTAAAACCTCACTAAGTGTTTCTGAAGTAAGAAATGCTGAGCTGGTAATCCCTTCAGAAGACGAAGTGAAAGCAAAGAACACCACCAAGCCGACCTGCAGGCGGTACAGTTTTGGTCAAACCAACTGGAAAAGGTGTCAGTAGGACAGCCCAAGAATAGGATCAAAAACTGGCACTGAACCAGTCAGTTAAGTAGGGCCTGAACCTCTTCTTTTATACCGAACGGATATTTTTCCATTACTACTATAGTATGAAAAACAAACCAATCCGTGTTTATTTGGAATTTTGCCATTTTTTCGTCTTTCATGATAGGCATCAATTTTGTTCTGAAAACGACGCATAATCAACTGCTCCTCTTCCCAGGTGCATTCCGAGTACGGCAACCCGCACCATTTCACGTAATATTCCATTCCTTCTACATCACCCTGTCCACGTGATACCTGATGCGCGATCACACGCTCAACAACCTAAAAAAAAGTTGAAAAAAAAGATACAGTTTTCATTCTCCGTTTCTTTATTTTATCTGAGTAGCCAAAAATAAAGAGAGATATAAAAGTGTTAAAAACACTGAAAAACACAGGGAAAAGAAGAATAATAAGAAAATGTGCGGAAGAATACAGTCGAAGATCTGACGAAAGCGAGAAGGTCAAGGCTAAAAATTTCTCCAGCAACATATTAGGACAGTGAGACGGCGGAAATCTTGTCTAAATTTCATTCTCAGGCAAAATTTGCATGCAAAAACAGAATCTAGCAGTAAGCAAAATTGTTCACTATTTAAAATTTCGCATCAAAAAACGCCATCGTTTCATCGGAAAAAGTTGAAAAGTAATAAAAAAGTTGCATGATAAAGCTGACAAGGGAAAAAATATCCCCGCTTCTTGAACAAGTTATTCGTAATTCTCATTAAGTATGCTTGTGCAACTTGATAAGTGAATGTTCAAAATTTCACGTAAATTGTGAATTTCAAAATGAATTTCAAACTTTCATGTGAATTTCATGTACATTTCACGCAAAATTTCATGTATTCTTCACGAAAAAGGGGCCGGAATGATGCAAGCACCCGTTATCAAGGCTATCCTTCTATGCAATGTTTTTGAAAAATTTAAAGGTGCTGACATGCACGTGATGTAAATTATAAATAAAAGCTTGTAAAATGGCCACAAAATAAACCTTGT